TGAAGGATGGAAGGCTGAGTCAACCCTGAGCCGGGGAGATTAGAACCGCTGAACTGCAAATAACAGTCAGCTGAAGTGGCCTGCAGTGCTGCACCCTAACCACTGCGCCACCTTGGCTCATCAGACCTCTGGACTTCAACTCCCAGCAAAGCTGGCTGAGGAATTCTGGGAATTGAAGTCCACAAGTCTTAAAAGTGCCAAGGCTGGAGAGCCCTGCTTTAAAATACGCAGGCCCTGAATGGCAAGCATGGTTCACTTCACCTCCTGGAGTTTCCCCACCGGTCAAACCCCCAACTGGCCACCCAGGCAGGGCTCCCACAGCACCCTAGGCTAAAAGGCGCCTAGTTTCTATGATCACAGCAAAGGCGGCAGGTTTATCCCGTTGATCGTGCAGCTTAAGGCTCCCTGCCAAGCAGGTTTCTGCCCAGGAGTCTGATTGGGGTTTCTTAGACCTGCTAGGTGCCCCTCTGGGAGCCCAGTTCAACGGCAGGACCCTCCCCGAGAGAAGAGCCTCCCGGTCCAAGGAAAAGGGAGTGTTGGGCGAGGGGAGACTCCACAGACCCCCCCCCAACATAAACAGAACCCGACTGGGCTCCCCAGAAGGCAGCAGCAACCGAAGGCCACTTTCATGGAGGGGAGGCTGACCTGCTGGAGCTCCTGGGGCTGAATCGATGCAGAAGGTCCCGTGTGGAGCAGGGGCAGGCCCTGCCCAGGAATACCCACCAATGGCAAGCCCCCCCACCCCGCCCCAGGATCGAGGGAGGAGGTTGTGGTTAGCACAGCTGTGAGACCAAATCCTGCCCACACAGAGCCAAAGGCCGAAAGGGGCTGCCGGTGCAAAGCCCCCAGCAGAAGCGATCCGTTGGCTGGTTGGAAACACGCTTGAAACTTTGGGTCTCTGAGGGAACCAAGGCTGGAGCTGCCCTTTCACTTCCCCTCAGGAAAAGGGCTCCTGGCTGCACCTGCAAAGCCGGCCTCTCTCCCCTCCAGCTGCCCCACAGCTGGACCAAGGCTCCAGCCTGGCCAGAGAGAGGCCCTTCAGTCCCAATGGGAGGGAAGCCCCTTTGGCTCCCAATGAGACAGCAGAGAGGCTGATGTCCCGGAGGATGTCCAGGCCCAGGAGGGCGAGTGCCCCCGGGGCCCCTGCAGGCGGCTGAGGGTCAGTGGTTGGCCTGTCCCCTCAATCTCCTTGCTCCGAAGGGGAGCAGCTGGAAAGGCAGAACCTGGACCGACGGAGAGGCAGAGGGCAGAGTGGGGGGCTGGGAACCCCCAGGACTCCTTCAGGGAACATGGGGCGGGGTCTTTCCCTGCAGACGTGGGGGAGGGGAAGGGGGACAGTTCCAAAGAGCCCCCCTCCTCTTGGTTTCTGCAGAGGCAGCCTCAGCTCTGGGGGGGAGTCCTTCTCCCCTCTCTCATTCTCTTCCCACAAGCAGCAGCCGGGCTCCCCCCCCCTCCTTCCTTTGGCCCCGGGGCCCCAGGGAGGGTCAACCCTGGACTCCGAGGCCCAGAAGCCACCTGGGCACACAGCTGTCCTGTCGGCGGG